GTTCAGATTCCGAACGTGATGAGAGTGACCAACTTTTCTCTGATACGGACGGTTCAGTTGCCGATAAGTCTGACAACGAGCTCGCAAGTTCCTTGATGGAATTGGATCTGACTGATGTCAAAGTCAAGGACTCAAACCCCAAAGGTAAAATGAAGGCAAGAACACCAAAACGTACCAATCACAGTGAGTGTTATGGAACTTCTACTAATTGTTCACGTCTTACTTGTCTGTTTTGCAGTGAAACGAGTCCTTTCTCCTGACGAGTCATCATCCGATACGAAGCGCCGAGTGGTTCAAAAGAAACATAAGAAAGGTTCGTCATCCTGCTTGTTTTCTCAGATACTACTTAATGATATGTATTTGATGTTCAGAATCAGCGAGTGACGTTCCGCTATTCTTTTCAGACTCAGGAAGTTCAAGTTGTCAAGCCCCTCCACCAACCCAGCCTCAATTCAGTAGCCTCCGTCACGGTGACCTGCGACTCAAAGTGTCATCTCCACCGAATTTGTGTCCGTCAGTGAGGACGATGTCCTCTGGCGCAACAGAACGGACGGCGATGACCCCTTCGCTCCGGAACGCATCAATCCTTGGGACTCTCGTTATATCATGATGCAGAATGCTGCTAACTTTCTTATTTGAATCGCTGATCACCCTTTGAGCTACAGATAGTACTAATTTCATTTCATGTTCTTCCTCGTGCTTTGCGGTACATACTGTCAACCTCATCCCACCTCATCACATCACCCATCCTATACTTCCTACCTTGCATCCTCGCGGTGCACTAGCTAATGATATATCACGGTCACATACATATCTCATTCATTACTTCACACTCTTTTCCAAATAGACAAAGATTTCGATGTGTGAAGTGTGTAGTGCGGGGAAGGTTAAATTCAAACGCGGAGGCTCTGGACAAGATGCGCAAGTGCGGGGGACAGCGCGCAGGGGTGCGCAACGCGCAAATAATAAAAGTGCTGATATAACGCCATAGAGGATCACAAGTGAATGCTATACTGATTTCTGTCATGTCTTTGTACCCCCGTGAATCATTCTAGCAATTTATTGAGCTGACACTTCGTTGCAGAGAAGCTCGAGTCACTACCATAAAGCCAAGGCAAAAACTCGAGACCAGTAAGTCCACTGAGTCGTCTCCCCATGAAAACTAAGCTCACAAAGAAGGCATCTGATGCTTCGTCTACCCAGTCACACTCATCATCTAAGTCTATCTCGTCGTCCATCTCCGAGAAGGCCAGGTCACTCAAAAAGGCTGTTGCAAAGGGTGCTAAGGCTCTGGCCCGCCCCTTGAAGAAGGTCAAGCAGTCATTTGTGTCTCGGTCTTCTCGATCGAGCCCCACAGACACCGTTGATCTTACGCGATCAAGTACTGATTCACTTGCCACTGACGATAACAAATCAACGGCAGGTGCATTCGAGCCTGATCCCGATCCTTCTGCAGATCTCGCACCATCAACAATTCGTGCCTTTCTCTGCCTCGGAGCGTGGGGCAGAAGTGATCTTCTGGTGATGGAGGACCTTTTAGCCGCTGTCAGGACTCAAAAAACGGAAGCGAAATGAAGTCGAAGCAGAGGAGAATGACAAGGAAAAGTAGTACTATTTTATTTCATTGTTGTTAATACTTAATACACTCTTCTTGGTAATGTACCCGCGGTGTTCAGAGACACCGCGGTGTTTTCCATAAACCGCGACATTGACGGGTCGGTGTGTACCCGTACCCGTGAAGGGTACGGTGTTGGCGGGTGCGGGTGCGGTGTCAACTTTCCGACCCTCGGTGTTACCCGTGCGGTACCCTAGAAAGAGTATATGATGAGTAAAGTCACGGTTGTTGCTGTAGAATTAGGTCGAGATTAAGTTACATGATCCGACGGAGCCGCCTGCTTAGTTGCATAATGAATTGGCTACGGTGAACGTGCCAGACTGCAGATAGCGACCAACGAAATGATTTTGCCACTGGTAGTTCTCTTCACAGAAACTGCGATGGAGATTATCTTTGTGAGCAACAGAATTCTCTTCATCACCCATGGAAGTTGGAACAGTGGCACTCCTCAAGACGTATGAGGCCCTGAAGGTTTGCCAATCTGTATCGCGACGGGTTCCAAGAGGCTCCAAGCCAAAATATTAAATGGAGACAGGCCAACGTATTATTATGATGCCGATGAAGCTGAAGCAACAAAATGCGTTGAACGATTTTCATGTGCCTTATACGAAAGGCAATTATGTAATAAATCGGATATCTTACGATATGTAGATGTAGTGCCTGAGTTACTAAATCAGGAGCGTAGTCAGCCAATGAAAATCGTTCATGAATTATGGTTACTAGTACTGGTACTACTAGTAAGTAGACTAGTACCCGTTTCTTCTTCATGCAATCTAGCTTGCGCATATGTACTTATGGTACGTCCGCGACAACAGTCTCGATTTCGTATGCATTGAGATTTGGTTTATTCATGCTAATCAGTTGATATCTGACATCACAAGGAAATGACACCCAAAATGCAAAATGAGCGGCGGTCAGCGATGGGGGATTCGTCTTCACACGGTATGAGAAGTCGAGAACCTCTGGTAGGAATGACGTTCTGTTCCCGTGTGATTGGTGCAAGCTCTTACTTAACTGATGCTCTTTCCGTACGCTTGTATGGCATGCCGCCGCCACTTTGTGCCACATGATGCCAACAATGAACATGCGTGTTCTGAACTTCGACTAGTATGTCTTTGATGTGTCCCACAGTCCAGCTGACCATTGCGGGTTGCCATTGATTCTTTGCTTCGCGTGTAAGTGGTGATAAATCATTATCGAGTACTTATCCCGCATATACGGCCATGTGGGTAGCAACATCCTGATGCCCATGGCACCAGGCAAACAATACACCTTGCAACTTTCGAGCTGCTGAAAACGGACATCACTTCCTTGTTATCCGCAACCGCTTTGGGTTGTCTGTGAAGTACGGTGTCCGAAGATAATATTGCTGTAAAAATAGCAAGCACCGGGTTGGCTCCACGAAGAAAATACTTGGGCCAGAGTTCTCTAGTCTCCCAGGCCCCTGCGCAGATATTAGACTAATGAAGATAATCGTTCCTTCTAGGAGTTCCTGGTTGCCATTAGGGTCACTTGTGAGCAGTATTCATTGTCGCTCACCGGGTACCGACTGAGTCCAGGGGCCCAGGCCTTTGGATTAGCGCTCATTCTGGTGTCTGCCGATTTGGTGCGTCTTCGAGCAATTGTCTGTTTCTCACATGAGTTCAATTGCGGCCATCTAATGCCGGCAGTGGTCAGACGTAGAAGCTATAGCGCACTGCATGGTACTAAATAGCTGTGAATGATTCAACACTGACCAATGGATATCCTCTTATGTACTCACCGCTGCCGTTCGTCTTCCTGTGTGCTGCGGTCTTGGAGGTGCGAATTTTTGTTTCAAGATGAGCCTTGTCCACGCATGACTTATTCCTATTCCCCGCTTCGTACAACGTCCACATGCGCCTTACTTCCGAGTCACCCTCCGAAGCCATCCTCCTGCAGAAATTCACGTTGCACAGGACGTCGAAAAATTCCAGGCTGTATTGGCATTAAATTCCAGAAGGTTTGTATTTCCATTTTGAATACATGGTAACGGCATTTACTCAACAAGGCATCGTCTCCTATGGGGTGATTATTCTCTATGCAGGCTCCAATTAACAAGCTTCTTTGGACGTTGGCGGTGTGACCTACAATTACCCCTGGTGACGTGCGTATGTTATTTGTCAGACAGACACTCAACACTAATCGGGCATGAAGAGTGAGCCAATTACTGCATGCTGTGATGCTCACGCCAAGCTGGCAGATTTCATCACGCTTCCTTGCTGTCGCTTGAGGCACGGGTTGGCCAAATGAGTGAAACCCGTCGTTATGGCAAAGAACTTCTTCTGTGACAAGAACCAGGTGCCGTTGGCCAGCTAAACTTTTAAAGGCATTGGTAAGGTTGTGACTCGTGATGCGGTAGAAGTGCTTGTTTAAAGGTGTGTTCGGTGCGGAGTTGAAGGAGCAGGGAGAAGTGGCGTCGTAGTGGATCGGGCACGGACTGCAAGGGAAACCCAGGCCAAACCTCTATGTCGGGAGGAGGCGGCCCTATCTATCGAGGACTGACTACGACACGCCGCAGGGCTACCGACTACGAGCCAGGACTCCTGGCACTCCCGACCTGCCAGAGCGCCCTGCTCCAGTGGGAGAGAACCAATTCTGTATGAAGAGACATTCAGATATCTGAATTATTTTAGTGCTTGCATGTCAATTTACCTGATCCCATATTCTCTGTATACGACGGATAAGCAGACTCATTTTGCGTTACCTCGAACTCATGACTAGCTGTATGCAACGGATTGGAGGTCCAGCCCCGTTGCATTTCAACAGTCACTTCAACATCGACCATCTTTCTCGGAGACTGCAATGCCAGCCAGGCGTAAGGATACAGAAGGCTGGACAGAAATTTTGTAAGCAGACGGGGACCATGAGCACTGAGCGTGTCTCTGGTTTATGTAAAGACATGAAGAAACCCCAAAAGATCTGTCGGTCGGACAAATACAACACCACGGTAATGGCCTTAACGTCCTCGCATCTGCTTGAACCAATGGACATCATATTATACAGCGGACATGAAGCACGTAGTACAATACCGTATATCCTAGCACGTATTGTTTACCATTCGGCGGCGCCCCAATAGACAATAAACAACGATACCGTCTTTCTCAACTCCACAACAGCAAGTGCAATGCAGAGCCGATTCAGCAACGTCATATTGGACTGCTAGCCCCGAGGGTTAGGCGAGAGGTAAAGAATCAGTTTCTGTTGAGGAAACTGAAGTGGTTAGCGCGCAGGACCAGGGACATTGAGCTCGAGTTAGCTACTAGCTGGTGTCGTGGTACCCGAGGAACGTGATGATAAGGGAACAAGAGATGTGTGAAGACACAAAGATGTACTTCGGCTGCGCATGCAAGCGGCGTGTAAACGTGGCGGAGTCCGTGAGTTATAAGATGAGTGTGAGGAATACACTCGTCATTAATCTCGTATCATTCGCCGCGTGCAAGAGCGAAGTGCTGGATCACGGGGATCGAGTTGAGCGCCTCTGACACGCCCTTGCAATGTCCGGTTTGAATTCGCTGGCGCCCAGTGGCGCTGTCTTCCATGAGTGTTCTGAATCATCTGACATCTCAGCATCCTACATTACCGCGTCATCGGCGATGGGTCGGGCATACATCTTTTTTGACGCATTCCTGTCCTTCTAAGAATCAGATAGTAGTCAATGAATACAGTTCCCTAATGAAATTTACGCCCACTGATTTTAAATGGAATACAGCCAATTTGTTTACAAACCGAGGCAGTCCATCAACGAGAACTTGTTGAGCCTAGTCCTGCCCACCCGTTCTCGGAATACCGCAGGGTATTGACTCACCATCAGTAGTGAGTACGCACATCCAACATACCCGGGTACCCAGGCACGCATCGAAATACTGATCGATCAAAACATAGATGGCTATAATTAAGTATCGTCCACATTGAGCGCAGCCCCAAGACGACAACATAAACACGATTATAAGGCACCGAATCGTTCAACACAGCGTAAAGGAGGTGTGGTCATTATCAGAAAGAAGTATGGCAGTCCGTGATAGTGTCGAAGGTTGCCTGAGAGCAAGCTGCGTGGTCTCGACGATGCTTGGCAACGAGGTCATTCCGAGCCGCCATCCTCTTACTGCAAACGGAACACCTGAGTTTGATACCAATGTGGGTAATGATATGGCGGCTAAAGCTGTCGACCTTCAGCTTCTTCCCACAACAGCCGAAGTGGGGCATTATCCATGAACAGGTGAACGATCCCTCTGGGTCGACATCAATGCAATGATGTCGGTGAAAGTGGGCAAGAATATTCTTGGATATAACCTGCAGCTCGTGACTGCAAGGTGTTCCTTTGTTGTCCCACCTGCAAGGATGGGTACTATGGTGCTCAGTGGATGGGTCGATATGGGATAAACTGGAGTAAGTAGTGCTGTCATAGCGCAGAGCACGGTGGGGTTGTGGATGATTGAAGATGGGGGCGGGAGGTCGAGAGATGCTCAATCCGATTGCCTCGTTGCCTACTGGCGAGTAAGCTGTGTGTATAGTATCTGGATAAAAACACAGTCAAGTAAGAAGGGTGTCCTCGACAATCGTGAATCCTCTCACTAAGGCATGGATGCTGAGGCTGTGGCGCATGTAGTACATGAGTAGGCCATACGGTAACATCGGCCACAACTATGTTTCGACTAGAAGAACTAAATTATCACCAGTCAACATCAGCTTATGAGGAACAAACGCACTTCTCAAAAGGACCAGTGGCCAAGTCATCGTTGAAAGAGGTCGTATTTGTGTTACTGCTGAGTCTCGTCAATTGAGTCAAGGAGTATTTAAAATATATGCACCCTAGAAGCATAGGCACATCCTGCGAATCATCAGGTTGGTGGTCGAGGAACAATACCATTGCTAGCCAATCCAAGGATTAAAAAATAGAGAGGAGCGGGGACGGTGCATCGATGCAGCCCAGGAAACCTTGTTTTTATAGACCATGGGTCTTCAAGCTTGTCGTCATTAATGAAACACGACCGCAGGGCCAAGAAGCGTATGCATGAGTATGCCTCACTGAGGCGGATATTGCAGCGGGTAGACGTCGTTGGCAGAACAGGGGATTATCCTCGTGAATTGTGACATATTAGTTTTTTGGCCGTTGGAAGTCGGAATAGCACCTGAAGCTTGAAGGCCGGGGCTGGTGGCAATGGCATATGACTTGCTTTACCAATTAAATGGCTTCATCGTTGAAAGTATATGATCTTGACCAATTCAAGTTGAAGCTCGGCCGAGAAATGGCACGTGTCGAATCGACACCATGAATCGTGCAAATCCCAAAGTCCTGCAGGAACATTTCACCTAGGGCATAACAAACACCTCGCAGGGAGGCTAGAATGTAATTTGATCGAATACACCTTTTGCATTGAGATCGGCTATAGAGGAAGCACGGGGATGGATGAGTCGATGGCACCGATGATCGCGGGTTCAGGGGGAGATTGTGACAACTGCGGCGTGATTGAGAGATGTGTGACAATCGGGTGAAATTTTGATCAGCAACTTTCCTCCACTACAAAATCTCTGAAAATTCAGATCTATAAAAGACGTATGAATACACCAGTATGAGTATCCAAATTCGTGAAAGAAAATATCAAGGCTATGGGGGAGCTGTTTTACCGGGAGTGTATTGTAGAAAGCTGTGCTAGGATAAGATTAGTTAGGTTAGCCCGAGGTTATTGCAATTGGGAAATGGGAAACACTAGTAGCTGAACTAAGATCGGCGACGTAATACCTTCATAAATCGGCAACTTGAGATGCCTTACTTATGATGCATTGCAACCCCTCAACTGACCGAGACCTTGGCAATATTGGAAGCGGAATGAAATTTTTTGCCAGCGAGGCTCAACGAGGCTTGCAAGCTGATTGTAACCTTTACATACTGAGGCCTAAGAGACAGGTTATGCAACCCCTCAAATAGCCGCAAGGGGTGGCAACACCCATTCTCTTCAATCCCCGAGGGTGCGACTCGAAGTGGGGTGCATGATCCAAATGTCCAGGCACCAAGCTGTATGATAGCTAGGCCTCGCAGGATTTAGGGAGGCGTACGAACACCGGGTGTAGCCAAAACTGGCTCCTCAACACGTCGAGGAGCCGGCTGTTATTGCTGAGCAGTGCTGTCCGCCTTGTGGGTGGTTCCGAGTGTTGTTCCGAGTTTGTTCCGAGTTATACTCTGCAGATCTGTATATAAATGTTTTGTATCCTGACGGCGAGTGTCACGGAGAGCACTGGAGGGGGAGTCGCGGCTACACCTAGAATATGAAATGCCTCGAGCAGCTCTTGTTTCACGTTGGATATTTTTCAAAGGGGGCGGGTCACAACTTGTTCAACCGTGTCCGAGGTGGACTGTAGACAACTTAACGTCACCTGTTACAACGGGAGCCGTCGACTTATGGTCCTGCCTCTCTGCCCAGGATGGGTTTGAAAGGGAGAAGGCTGAGATTAGCATATCAATGTATGAAGAGTGTACACATATATTGTACGTGGCCGAAGAAACAGCAGTGTCAAATCAGGGTAAGCATAGAACCATGTACATTATCAACATTCAACGCGTTGAACGCGGAATGAAAAAGGTGTGCTGGGACACAGACGCCAGGAGGGAAATAACAGTTACGGCACAATAGCCATGGGGACATATGAAAGACCGAACTGTGCTGTGCAAACCCAGATTAAGCATACCAAATGCACAATGCAGTCATTGACGAGCCAAGCAGCTATGGCATGAATACTGAATTGTCAAGTCAAATTAGTCAGAAAAGAGTAGGCGGAGTCGAGGATTGGCGGCCCATCGCAACTACATATCTGGACCTTATATACTAGACATGGCAATACCTCGCTAGATTTTCATACTTATCGGCACTGTTTTTGTCTTGTGGGAAATAGGGACGGATAATGAAGTGACGAAACTCACCTCCTGGTCTGACGGACGATTTCCTGCGGTTGTTACTACTGCTAGATACTCGGACTGGTGAATAAGGTTCCCGATGACGCACTCTCTCTCTCAAATTTCAAGTACTGCCAGAATGTAATACTTGAGAATATCATCATGCGACATCCAGCCCCCGATTGCAACGAGTTGCCTGAATCCTGGAGTCATACTTATACCAAGATGGTGGTTTCAGCGGGAGTTGAACGATTCGCAGCGCTGGTCGAAAATAACAGCTCGTGGGCAAGGCAAAGTAGAGATGTGATGACTACTCACAACCGTCAGGGTGCTTTCAATCTCCCTATCGGTTTTTTTCCTACTTTGCATCTTTCCGCTTCAATGCATGAATGAGTTGTTTCAACACACAACTTTAAGAGAGCTGCTCACACACATGATTCAGAGCTTCCGGACTTGAATTCTATAGAGGCGATTTCAATGAATGTAGGCTGGATACGATTGTGAGTTTAATAATGTCCCCAGTGATGAATACTTCGTAATAAGAGCTGCAGCTACTGTTATACGCAACCGCTTTGAGGCAGGTCTGTGAAGTACCGTGACGGTATCCGAAGGCGATTGCATCTCTGTCAAAAGAACAAGAACCGACTGCATTAAGGTGAGTTGTAAGCGTTTGATTATGCTTGAAAATTCCATTCCTCCGCTCACCGAGTGTTGAGTCGATCCAGGGAACCCAGTTCTTTCAGCCGGCGCTCATTCTGGCTCGGGCCATGTGTTGTACAAGTGTAAGGGCTTAAGGTATGTTGGCCCGTTGTTCTTTTGTACGGTCATTGTTTTCCACATGCTTCAAGCATGTCCGACCTATTCGCACTTGATATGGCCTGTATTGCTTCTCATTTCATATCTCCTGCAGACAAGTAGCACCGGGCTGTGCCAACTTGCGACTGCGGCGCATTTCCTCCGAGTCAGGGAAGCCTCGACGTTTATGCGGGTGATCACCACTCCACACTGCAAGAATATACTCTTGGTCACCCCAGCGGCAAGTATTAAGCTCCTGTACTGATTTCGATGTTCGTCTAGCGTCCTCTAGCGTCCCAGGCTGGAGGCGGTCATATTCACGTGATATGGAAGCTTAGATCTGGCCAAATACTAGAGTAAATAATCATGCTGATAATGTGACATTCTAAGAATAAGTATACAGTAACTTGTGCTACCTCTTGACCTGAGACGTTTTTACTGCACCCCATACCCAGTTGCGGATATATGTAGGAGCCTGAGTACGGCCTACAATAATTTCCGAATACTAATAATTCGGACATGAAGAACAGGTTGAGACCATGATACTCGTGCCAACGCAAGCGACGTTGCTTGAGCCACGGGGTAGCCAAATCTATGTAGCACGCACCCGTTATCAATGCGGCAAGAGATGCTACTGGCTGTTACGTAGTGTTGCATTCGTCCGAGAAATGATTCTTTCAGGAGTGCTTCCAGTTCGTGTTTTTAATGAATTCAGCGATACGTTGACCGCTCATGGTCGCGGTACTTGCCCGCCAAATTTCTGTTGAACAAACTTCTTATGCTGGCTTCGCGGTCTCTGCCAGTGAGGGAAGCAAATGAGTCAAGGAGAGATGAAGCGAGGCCAGAGCTTCGCTGTATAGTACTGTTAGTTGCGTGAATTTGAGGTATTGTGCATATCATAAACTTGAATTACATTAATGCAACTTAGGCATGCAGAACAGGCCAATATTTAATGCTGCACAGCCTGATACTCATGCCGACCCAGGTCCAACATTGCTCGAGTCAAAGCTATGCAACATACGTCCATTATCAATGCGGAAAGAGACTTATTCTACGATGGAAAGTTTGCGTTTTTTTCGGTGCTCGTGATTACCGTCTGCGTGCCAAATTTCTGCCTGGACTTCCGACTCGGTGTGCATCCTTATACTTGGCTGGCATCGCGGTCTCCAAAGAAGATGGGTGGAAATGGAACGAGTCTGAACCTCGGTGTATTGGCGTGAAATGAGCCAGTCCCCAGATGTGATCAGCGTTATCTTACCAGATAAGGTGTGTACACTTTAACTTGCTCTTGCAAATTGGCATTTCCGAAAGTAGTTCCGCAGGGAGAATGCGCAACTCGTACCAATATACTGTAGGGAGCTGTAGTTCGTTCGACCAAGTGACCGTTACTAACGGTTCTAGGATTCTTAAGCTACAACCATTCATGAAGCCACGAGTCCTCGAAAAATGCAAGTTCAAGGCGGGCAATCTGGTTAGCCTTTGGCTTGGTAGCACTCACTGCGTTCTCTGCCTCAGTCCAACCTGGTGTCGTGATAGTTGCACGGTCATGAATTCATTAGGATAGTATAGAGGACACCCAGTGTGCAACGGAATGCCGGCAAGTTCCAAATGACGTATGCAGGCAGAGTGTAAGTAGTTAAGACTGTCGTCCCTTAACAGTTACGCCCAGACCGTCAGGCCAAAAGGCAGTGATAATCAAAGCTCAAGCTCTATCGCGGACAGTATTTATGTTGATTATGGGAACTCAGGTAGTAAGCAACGAGCTTACACAGAGTCACTTTCAAGATCCGCCCTGAGTGGCTGACTAAGCCACGGTACTACGGCTGCTACTCCGGCCCTCGCCTGTTAGGGGTCTTGTATAGGCTACATTCAAAACCAGAGTTTGACCAGGGTGCAGAAGGGCGAGTAAAGTCTTCTGGACTGACACCTCACACGCTCCCTCATTCGAACTTGGGCAGAGATCCGGTCCTTAAAGTTGGTGTCTCACTTCGTGCAGGGACGTACAAGCGCAGCGCAAAGTCCATGCCTTTGTTGGAGAGGAAGAGACCTGATCATCTTGATGTGGCAAACGAACGATGGCAGATTGGCAGGGGGAGCAAGTATAGCAAGCAAAAGACGCCTGATGACGGAATTGAATGAGCAGGCGCTTGTGTATGCCGTTGTAGACGCCATCATCAGACGTCCAATCAATGTCATCACACGTAAAGCCAGCCAGCCTAGGTGGCGTCGCATTGCTGATCAAGACTTGAAGCTAAGCTAGAAACGAGACATGTGACATACGATATTTGGAACGTCCCAGGTCAGATTTACGGTGACTCTTTGATGGACTTGCACGTCTGT